CCCTCCCTTCTATTGTTCCTTCCTTCCCTCCCTTTGTCCCTTCCTTTTTCCACCCCTCCATACCCAGGAAGGGATAAGGGGAGGGGGACAGGCTGCCAGCATGGCTGGTGGCTGTGCTGCTGGTGGCCATGGCAACATGCCAAACCTGCCTGTGCACATGCAGAGGCAGAGGCAGAGGCAGAGGAGAGCTCTGCTCAGCTTACTTGCTCATGCTTTGCTGGGAAACATGCCGCTTGCTAATTTAGCAGAAGTGCCAGGATCAGCGCCAGGCTACAGCTGATTTGCGCTTCTGCTAAATTAGCAAGCAGCATGTTTTCCAGCGAAGCATGAGCAAGTGAGCTGGGCAGGAGCCCAGGAGAGCAGCTACAGCTGATCTGCACTTCTGGGCTGCTCTGCAGAAGCATGGATCAGCTGTAGCTGCGTGCCCCGATCCTGGGCTCCTGCCCAGTTCACTTGCTTGCGAATTGGCGTTTCTGAGCACACACCGATTCGCACCCCTTCATTCTTCTGAATGAAGAATTTTAGGGGGTGTTGAAAGTGAGACAGACTTAGGGCTGTATTAAGATCATAGATGTAAGGAGAGGGGAAGGGAGGCGAATTTGGGGTGGAGCAGAAAATATGGGGGGGGAAGGCGTTAGGAAATAAACACCAAAGGTACATGGTGTCTTGCAAGGTATTCCCGAGTGTTCCGTAATTGTTTTTCTTCTCTCTTCTGCACAAGAAAAACTTTTGCGACGTAAATCTGAAACCAAGTGTTCTTGTGAGGTGGCTCAGGAGGTCCTTGGGAGAGGCGAGGACAAGCTTGGCGTTTCCTCTCTCCTAATCCCCTTTTTCTTCCCTTTCCCGGCCTGCCTGCAATCTTAGCTCGCGGCTCTATGGCTTTTCTTTGCCTAGCCTAGCCAAGCATTCTTCCGCCTGCCCCGTTCCTGAGAGCAGAAGCACCAAGGAGGTACAGCAGAAACACGTAAAGGCGAGAACTAAAAAACAAAACAAAAACAGAGTTCCAGCCAGCAGAGGCTTGGTAGCCCGGCTGCCGAGGAACAGGAGAGCACAAAGCCAAGGAGAAGAAGGTGGCAGTTTCTTCCCAAAGGGGGCTCCTTTTTTCCACCCCTTCCCCTGGGTTTGTGGGGGAGTTTCTCATCTCCAACATTGACAGGTGCTCCTTGCAGCCCACCGGGAGCTTTCTTGCCCCCTTTGCTTCTCCCCCAGCTTTCGTGAGGATTGTAGTACCCTTGGAAAGCTGATTATGCTTTGAAACTTAGGAGAAGAGGAGGAGTCCCTTCCTCCTTCCCTCCCTCTCTCCCTGTCAAGCCCCCGCAGGTTCGTTGTGAACGGCCAGGGGAAGGGTCGAGGACGACATGTGGAGCAGCAAAGGAGACCAGCAGCCAGCACCATTCTACCTGGCAGCTTGGGTGTTGGCTCCATGGGCGTCCCGACCAACAGCTGAGCGGCTCTGACTTCTGGCCACCAAACAGCTGAGTCCTCTGGGAGGCAACGTGAGGGGCCTGAGGGGTGTCGCAAGCTCACGGGGGGGAAGGAAAAGAAGACAGAAGAGAGTGAGGCCGCAACAGAGAGAGAGAGAGAGAGAGAAGGGGGAAAAGGAGGGGCGGTTGGGATGTTGGTGCTCAGGGCCGCGATGAGCGGTCTCCAACCCCTTCCTGCCAAGGGAGTGGACGGCTCTGTCTCCTGTCAGGCTATCGCTTGTTGTGAAGTAAGAAGAGGGGAAGGGTGATATGGATCCTGCTGACCTGCATGCACAAGAAGAAGTCAATCCAGTTGCTGCACAATGAGTCCCTGGGGAGGGTGGGGTCTTGCTCTGCACCTGCGCTCTTCACACGCCTCCTGCAGGGCACATTTGGTAGAATTCATGGAGGCTGCCGCCAAGCAGCATGTTTTCCACAAACAAGTGAGCTGGGAAGGAGCGCAGCGGGGGGAGGAAGGCGACGCCGTGAGGGGGAAGAAGGTGACACCGCGTACCACCAGCCAGGTGGTTGAAAAGCCCTGATCTAAATTGTATGGTGCAATACAGCAATAAAATGATTGCAGTCATAAAAACAGCTAATAAATCAAATAAAAACAACTGAAAAATTCAAATACTTTTTTTTTCAAATAATCAGATTGTAAATTTTTGCTATAGTCAAATCAGTATACACATGGCATAATTCTTTTGGATATTCAGAATACTATGGATACTATGGTGACACATTTCTCATTAAAACATAGGAACAGATTATTACTAGATAATGCACTTCTTTTAGAGCCAGTATTCTAAATGCTTTTTTACACAGGAAAAGAACACCATGCCAAAAAGTCCAGTCAGCTGCCAAGAAGAAAGACCTCAGTGACCTCTCAGCTTAAAACATGGGAAATAAAAAAATACCAAGACAGTATAGAAAATCACACATGATATTGAAAGCTTGGCAATAATGTTAAAATTGAAGAGTAATCCATTATAACTAAACGTGAGGGATTCAGGACTGATAAATGTTCTTCTTTATATGATACTTTGTATATTGGAACTAATATATTTGGGATAATAATTGTTTAAAAAAGACCGAACAATCTCATAAAGGATCAACAGCTGTTAATGTTGATGGTTGTAGACTCTGCCCAGAATAACAAGCAATTGTCTATAATTATATAATAGGTATTTGGGAGTCAAAATGGAAAAAAAATCTGTCTTCATAACCATGTGGATGACTTTTCTGAAGGCATCTCAATGGACCATGTGAGATACAGATTGCTGGGCTAGATGGGAAACTAACTAAATTTAACAGGTTTCTACTTTTCATTATTTTTATGCTTGAAATAAACTATAATTAAATGCAAGTTGTAAAACTTGTAACATACAACTCACGCATGTTATACAATTTTAAAATGTTGCAAATATTACTGCAAATAATAAAATACAAATAAAATTAGCTGCACAAGTATACAGTCATATGTTAGACTAGGAAGGAATCAAATCCCAAGATAAATTGCAAATCAGTCATGAAATGTGTAGTGGTTGAGGTCGGAATAGAGCAGTGTTTCTCAACCTTTTTAATGCCGCGACCCTCAACTGGTCGTAAGTCGAGGACTACTCAACCGGTCATAAGTCGAGGACTACTCAACTGGTGCAGCACCGTTTGCAGAATGGGACTTTTGGCGGGCTCAGCAGGGCAGAGACAGCCTGGACAATTCCTATTGGCTTTTGAAAGCCAATAGAATTAGACTCTATTCAAGAGAGTCTATTCTATTGGCTTTCAAAAGCCAATAGAATAAAAGGGAGTAGCACAGCTAAGTAAAAGGGGGAAAAAATGGCGGACTGCATTGTTTGGCGACCCCCGTGAAATGGTCGTTCGACCCCAAATGGGGTCCCGACCCACAGGTTGAGAACCACTGGAATAGAGGGACACTTGTGCTCCTAAATGATGTTAGGCAAGTCACACCTTCTCAAAATAATCTGAGTGCTGTTGACATGACAAAATTGAATAAATACCATTGCTACTTAAATATCTGGATGAGAATTAACTATATAGTAATAGTAGTAAAGTTGGAAGGGACCTTGGAGGTCATCTAGTCCAACCCCCTGCTCGGGCAGGAAACCCTACACCATTTCGGACAAATGGCTGTCCAGTCTCTTCTTAAAAACTTCCAGTGGTGGAGCATTTACTGCTTCTGGAGGCAAGCTGTTCCCCTGATTAATTGTTCTCACTGTCAGGAAGTTTCTCCTTAGTTCTAGGTTGCTTCTCTCCTTGATTAGTTTCCACCCGTTGCTTCTTGTCCTGCCTTCAGGTGCTTTGGAAAATAGCTTTATTCCCTCTTCTTTATGGCAGCCCCTGAGATATTGGAATACTGCTATCATGTCCCCCCTTGTCCTTCTCTTCGTTAAACTATACATACCCAATTCTCGCAACCGTTCCTTATATGTTTTAGCCTCCAGTCCCCTAATCATCTTTGTTGCTCTTCTCTGTACTCTTTCTAGAGTCTCAACATCTTTTTACATCGTGGTGACCAAAACTGGATGCAGTATTCCAAGTGTGGCCTTACCAAGGCATTGAATAGTGGTATTAATACTTCACGTGATCTTGATTCTATCCCTCTGTTAATGCAGCCTAGCACTGTGTTGGCCTTTTTGGCAGCTGCAGCACACTGCTGGCTCATATTTAAGTGATTTTCTACTAGGACTCCGAGGTCCCTCTCACAGTTACTACTATTGAGCATGGTGCCACCTATGCTGTACTTGTGCCTTTGGTTTTTCTTGCCTAAATGTAGAACCTTGCTTTTTTCACCATTGAATTTCATTTTGTTAGTTAGTGCCCAGTGTTCAAGTCTGTCCAGATCCTTCTGTATCTGAAGCCTGTCTTCTGGAGTGTTGGCTATTCCTGCCAGCTTGGTGTCGTCTGCAAATTTGATGAGTTCCCCATCTATCCCTTCATCCAAATCGGTGATGAAGATGTTGAAGAGTACTGGGCCCAGAACAGAGCCCTGGGGCACCCCACTACACACTTCCCTCCATATAGATGCAGTTCCATTGAGGACCACTCGCTGAGTACGGCCGGTCAGCCAGCTACGGATCCATCTGGTGGTGGTTCTGTCTACCCCACATTTTTCTATCTTGTCAAGTAGTAGGTTGGATAAACTTGGTAGCAGAGTGATTAAGTGAAGCATTGCATGCAAACTCTGCCCATAGCTTGGAATTGGTAAAATGAGGAATTAGGTTATTGGGGGCAATATGCAAATAATGCTGACATAGTAAACCACTCTGAGTGCTGTAAAGCACTATGGAGCAGTATATAAGTCTATATGTCAAAATGGCACTTCTATTGCTATTAAACAGCTTTGGAATTTTCTCCTGTTTATAGGGAGTTATTTGCAACTGACTGCAAAATAAATTGCAATTGACATTACATTAGACTGATGTATTATAAACATTGCTTGAGCAACATATAATAGTACTCAATAGTAATCAATAATTATACAATTCAGTAATAACAGACAAGTCCAAAACAACTTACTCTCTGTAGAGTTATGGCTTGGCATGTAGAAGTCCCAGAAATCCTAGAAAATGAAGGTAATAAAAACCAGTTGAAAAAGTTTTCAAGCTCAATTTAAAAGTTTCTAATTTTATGAGATTTTTGTTTGGATATCACATTTTAAGGATGTTTTTTAAAATTAGTGACTTCTTCCATTGGATATATTAGGTATTTAATACTTTTCTATGGGACATGAAACACTGCTTTATTTCTCAAAAGACAAATGTTATGCTCACTTTGTAACACCAATCATACTCAATCTGATCATACAATATAGAAATAAAATGTAATTCATTTATTATTCAAGCCTGCTGTTAGCCTTTTTATTCATATTACTTACATTTTCTCTATTTTAATATGACATTTTATTTCATTTTACTGTACTGTAAGTCACTCCAATCTAAATGACGTAGAGCAGAGACAAGCAACAGATAAATCTACAGTAACTACGCCAATCAAATACACACATTACACACATGTGGCTTTAATATCTAAAAAAAAGGGTACTATAACAAACCAAGCAAACTTGCAAAAAGTGAAAAGTTGACTTAGATAAATAAAACAAACTTAGAATTCAAATTATCCTATACAAAAAGCTACTACAAGTTTTGATTCAACGGTATGATTTGAAACAAGTTCAACAAATTTGATACTCAAACTGCTCAATCAGTTCAATATATTGAATTAAAACAGATGCCTTTGATTTGATTCAAATATTTTAGCTGCTTTTATGCATGCACATACTGTTTTTATTAAAATGAGTCATCAGACTAATTCAATTCTCTGACATATGTCAAATTCAAATCAAATAATACTAAAACTTCAAATTAAACAGTAAACTGAAATCAAGTTACAAATTGCAAAAGGCACATAAACTTATCAGGAACAGATTTTAATGTGCAGTATTACAAACACTGAAATTATTGGAATAATTTAGTGGAATAATTATTTACAATATCTTATACATTCATTTTTATGTGATACAGAAGTGACTGCTAGCTTAGCTAGATTATTAAGACAAAAGCCCAACAAATAATAGGGATTCTGAATGGGAAAAAAATTGATCAAGAATGTAAATCAGTAATTCTGCAAGCATTTTATTGAACCAGATGCTAACCTTCATGAATCCTTGGTTTAAAAGTTTTATTTGTATATTCTTCATAGTTCTTATTAAACTGCTGCTTCCTAAAATACTGCAAATTTCTAACATCTTTAGAATAGATCAGATGCAACAGGTTAGAAATCAGTCTAATTTTTTTCAATTTCATCTTCAGATATATTTTCTTAAATCCAACCTATTCAATTTTAATCATAGGGTTTTTTAAGCAACAACAAAGATAATAATTAATATATATAAATATTAAATACATATTTACTTACTGAACATATTTATTATAAGCTTACAATAAAGGAAGTATTAATACTCATGGTTTTGGTTTCTTGACTGGACTAAATGAAAGACTGACATAAATCTTGCTAGTCTGAAAGCACTTGTCTCCTCCCTTACTTTTACTTTCTAGGCTAGGGAGATGCCAACGTTCCCTGGTAGTCCAGATAGGAAACATGATGAGCTAATTCTACTTTATTGTAAATCTATATTAACATTACATTAATCTTGCAATTCGGAAAATACAAATCTCCCGTCATCTCCTTTTTACCACCTGATAAATTAGGGAGGATCCTTTCTTCCTTCCTTTCTCTGCCTGTTATGTAGTTGGGGGCTCTGTCCCCTCAACATCTCTTATCCCCCTATATCTCAAGGTCATTTGCACATACTGTTACAGGTGGCACCCATCTAAGATTCTTTCCATACCTCCATTGCTTCTGTGGTTTGAGATTTGTTTTGTCTAGGCTGCCACTTTTCCTCCTGTCTCCCAAAGTTATTCTCATGGCCTGTTATACCCATGGACTTGCACATAACAGATGACCATGTGATCATCTTTTTCCATGCAGTATCTCTGAGAAAGGCAACATATTTACAAATGACATTAGTCTCATAGGCATTTCATAATTCCACTTTTAGTAGCAAATAGTGATAGCAATAGATACTAGATTCAGTGGTCATTTACTTTATTGTCTAGTGAGTCTGTTTTTCTGTTTAAGTAAGCATTTGGATCATCTTTTAAATATAGAACATACAAAATGTCAAAGTTTAACTTAGTTCTGACCTGCAATTTGTATAGGATCAGGAAAGTTCACTTCAGAATACGTACACATCAAACTTCTCAAAATTCTGCACATTAGTCTCATGTGCCCATTAATATTTGATAAGCCTTTCATCCCAGAAAAAAAAATCATGTCTATTTCCTATACCGCGGGTCGGCAACCCGCAACTCCGGAACCGCATGTGACTCTTTGAACCTTCTCCTGAAGCTCCCAGCCTCCTCTGCCATTTGCATAGAGAGAGAGAGAGAGAGAGAGAGAGAGGCACTTGTGCTTACCTTGTCTCTCTCTCTCTCTCTCTCTCTGTGTGTGTGTGTGTGTGTGTGTGTAAAAAAGAGTGGCCTCATGCTGTTCCGACGAGCTGACAAGCTTATTGGGCGGGGCTCCTCCCTTTACTGTGTCTCTGCAGCAAGCAGGAAGGGCAGGAGAGAGCCAGCCCAATAATGTGTGTCAGCTTGTTGGAAAAGAGCCTGAAGCCAGCTTGCCAGGTGACCAGAAGATTGGAAAGAGGGAGAGAGAGGGTGAGGGAGAGAGAGAGAGGGAGAGAGAGGAGAGGGAGAGAAAGAGAGAGGGGGAGAGGGGGAGGGGAGAGACAGAGAAAAAGAGAGAGGGAGAGGAAAGAGAGAGAGGGAGAGGGAGAGGAGAGAAAGAAAGAGAAAAAGGGAGAGAAAGAGGGATAGGGAGAGAGGGAGAAAAAGAGAGAGAGGGAGAAAGGGGGAGAGAGGGGGGAGGAAAGAGAGAGGAAAGAAAAAGAGAGAAAAAGAGAGAGGGAGAAGAAAGAGAGGGAGAGAAAGAGAGGGAGAGGAAAGAAAGAGGGGGAGGAAGAGAAAAGAGAGAGACAGAGGGAGAGAGAGGAAAGAGAGAAAGAGAGAGGAAAGAGAAAGAGATAGAAAGAGAGAGGGAGAGAGGAAAGAGAGAAAGAGAGAGAGAAAGAGAGAAAGAGAGGAAGAGAGGAAAGAGAGAAAGAGAGAGAGAGGAAAGAGAGAGGGAGAGGAAAGAGAGGAAAGAGAGGAGAGAGAGAGAGAGAGAACTCATGCACAGTAGCCTCTATTTCTTTTTAATTAAACTCTTCAATCAAGGTTCCCACTCCTTGCGTGCACACGCGCGTGCACAAGTTTTGCAGCTCCCAGTGTTTTCTTTTCTCTAGGAAATGGGTCCAAGTGGCTCTTTGAGTGTTTAAGGTTGCAGACCCCTGTCCTATACAGTACTTGCAGAATCCCCTCAATTCAACATTTAGTGAAACATACTGAACAATGCATATAACAGAATAACAGAGTTGGAAGGGACCTTGGAGGTCTTCTAGTCCAACCAAGCTCAAGCAGGAGACCCTGTAGCATTTCAGACAAAAGGTTATCCAATCTCTTCTTTAAAACCTTAAGTGATAGAGCCCCTACACCTTCTGAAGGCAAGCCATTCCACTGATTAATTGTTCTAGCAGACAGGAAATTTTTCCTTAATTCTAGGATGGTTCTCTCCTTGATTTCTTCAGCAATTAAATAAAACCTGCAACTCATGACCATTTGTTTTTAAAAGGATCTTTAAAAACAAAATATTTGTTTGTTTCTTTTGGCAGAAGGAACATAGAAAACTCCAAAGAGAAAGAAAAATCAAAGGTGAGAAAATATTTTACTTGCAATGGAAACTTTTATTCACAACCAATATCTCTGCTTGTTTTGAGCAAGAAAGACCAGATACTTTAACGATCTATACAGGATGTTAATAATATATGACATTAATGATATATATTCACAAAGGTTTATTAAGGATACCTTTTAATTCCTCATTTTATTTATTCTGTCAATAAAGAGTTTGTGTGTTTATCTTCTAGGACAGAGAAACAAAGAGAGACAGAGAAACAAAAAACCAGGAGAGCTAACAAGCTTTGAAGGAAAGGATATACCGCCTACTAAAATAAATGTAATATAGGATTACTATGTCTCAGTTTAATTGTTAACTGATATACAGCATGTAATCCAGTCCAGATACATGCTTTTGAGTTAATTTAAACCTCAGCATGATTTTGATTGCAGGTTCACTCACAAAGACTCATCACAATGGAACTAGCAGAGATCATTCCTTGTAAATCTTATTCTCATTCTTGAGCTAACAAAGATAATTAAAGTGACCCATAGAAGAAGAAAAAAAGCAAGACTATAAACATAGCAGGCAATGCAAGTTACAGAGTAGCAGAAAGGCAGATAATTAAACAAGTTCATTTCCAGAACAAAAAAAAGCAAGTCCATAAAATTGTTACCAATTCAAAACTGTTCCTAAGAGGTCTCAATATCTTCAACCAAAAATTGGTAGCTAACTAGAAGCAGAGAGAAGATCCATCAGAGGTCCCTTAGATGTTTCATGACATGCCCAATAATTAGTTGGTTACTTGTTCCAAAACAAAAGCCATTTATAATTCCAAGAAAGGACTAAATACCTATAACTACTTATAGTTATAGGACTACTTGTAGACATCTATAACATATAAACTTCATGATAAAATAAAAAAGTAAAGTAGCCAATCAATCAAATTTTATTACAGTTACAGACTAGTATCATAAAATAGTAGGCATTCATATAATTAATCAAAGCATTTCATTCTACATTTTTGAAATTCAACTATCTTAAAAAAACATATGATCTGCTGATTATATTTAAAATATGATACAACACAAACACATCAACTGATAATAGTGGAGAAAGATACCAAAATTACAGAATAAGTTTTGCACATAGTAGTTTTAATATGATTTTACCATAGACCAGGGGTCCCCAATCCCCTTTTTACAGATCAATACCAGTCTGTGGCTTGTTAGGAACTGGGTTACAGGTGAACAAGCAAAACTGAAACCATCCCTTCCCGCAAAC